TGCAGTCGGGGTGGGGTCCCCGGCTGCATCCAAAGCGGCCCGGTAGTGCCGGCGTCGGAGTGCAGTCCTGTGACGCTGGCGGAGTAGAGAAGGGGGGGTGACCGGGGTATCGGTCACCTCTGGGGGGCGTTCGATCGCCCCCACGGAACGGGCTCCCCGATAAGGGGAGCACAGGCGCGGCGGTGGCGGTGCGTTCATACGAGATCCCGCCACCGCCGAGTTCCGCCCGAGAAGGCTGCCGCGGGGGTTTTAGTGAGTGCGAGTCCCACACTACCTCGGAGTCCCACCCCAGGACTCCGGGGTTTGCATAAAGCATTTCCCCCGCGAAAAAAAAAAAGGTATTAAAGCTGGACTCCCGCGTTGTTGCCATTTTTACTTTCAGCACGGCTAGTACTAGAGTCGGCTGTGATTATACATACGTTTATGTTTATATGTTTTATATTTTATAAGAAATGTTTAAATAAATATAGTATAGTATTGTATTTCATTTTCTCTCAAGGCATAAACAACTTTTGTGTTAGGTATCAAGGTTAGGAAAATATAATTCGATACAAGTAGGTATCGATATCTTCATACAAAAGCACAGCTGAGCCGACTCTTCGCCAAAGAGTCTTCGGCTGTGACAAAAGTATATAAATGTCTTCTCATCATCCTTCAGGCCCCCCCATTCGCTTTCTCCCTTCTCTCTGCGATGTGCGATGTGCGAGCAAGAGAGGAGTTACTCCTGCGGTACTTCTGTCCTTTGGTCTCGCTGGGTTTCGCTTCATCCCTACCGTAAGACCGCGCAGTCTATTATATATGACTATATTACTCGCCGACTACATAGCACTACATAGAAGTATGCATTATGTGTCGAAGCAGTGCGATATTAGCGACATTGGTGATGTGATTCAGTAACTTATGACTGACCATACAATTCTAATAGGAGTTAACAGACCTTGCTATGCGAATTTAACGTTGAAATATTTGTTCACATTTATTTATTGACTACATTTAGTTACAACTTTTTTTAAACTTGATATGTGTGTTTGTGACATTTACGAATAAATTCGGCTGTCGTATTTTTCAACAGTTAATATAAATGTAAAAAGCAATTGTCTATATACTGTGAAAGTAAAAATAGTAAATTCAATTTACTCATGATAGAAAAAATTAGATCTATTTGTAGTTTGAAAAATTTCTACTTGTGTAATCTCCAATTGCAAATTGTGCGTCATATTATTCATTTTTAACGGAAATTTTTAACTCTGCACTACTAAAGAAGGGAGTCTTAGCGTCCAAAAAACATCAGTTTTCCATTGAAAATTTGCGTGATATTTCAATAATGTCATTCGTGATTAGAGTAAGTGCACAGAATATAGTTGGTATGACACATAACCTAGAAATACTTAACTTTCAAAACGAATTGTGCAAAAAGTTTTGATGTCATTATTAAGATATTTAAGACATTAGTGAATTAGTGCAAGTGATATTAATGCGGGTTTGATTTTTTTTTCAATTTATTCTTTACTTTCGTACTTTGTGTGTTGATTAAAAAAAAGTAACTATTTATTTGATAACTTTCTGTATTTACAAGAAAATTTGCGAACAATGTAAATCAGTATGCGTTTGATTGTGCAATTCCAGAAGACACATTTTTGGCAAAGTAATTGTGGGTAGGGTAAATACACATGTAAATATGCTTTTATTCGTGTGAAAATTTCAATTTTATGCTTCTATTAAATAATAACCTTGATAAGTTGAAAGGAAGATTTCATTGAGGAAATTTTAATGATTCAAATAAGTTTTTTCTGTCATAGGTAATTCAATCACTTTTTTTATTGTATTCCTACTCCTTTCAAGATTTATGTAAGTATGACTAGTTAAATAATGGCATGTTCTCATTATAGGACGCTTTTACGAAATAATTTGTTCAAAGATTTTTATTTGAGTAAAGCTATTATGAAAAGAAAGTAACGAAGATAATTTTAAAATATATTAGAGAAGCTTGAGGAGGATTATTTTAATGCCATGTGAAGAAGCTTTATGTTGAAAGTCAGTGAATTTGTTTATTTTATGTAAATATAAATTTAAGTGTTTTATATCTTTTATACTTTTGTAATCATTTACAACTAGGTAGTCATGGATGAAAGGAGGGTAGCAGACTACTTTGTCATTGCTGGTTTACCTGGTCAAGACAATGATTTTGAAAATGATAATGAAGCTCAAGAAAAATTGGAAGATTGGTATCAAGAAGGAACCCATGTCAAAGATATGCATATGAAACCTCCAATCACTGATCTTGCCATTATATTCCCAGCATTGGGTGAACAATGTCCAGAAGGATATGTGTTGTTGGAGCACACGGTTTCAGGATTGCCTGCTGATTTAAATCATGGAAGTTTAAGAACAAATGAGTGTTATTTATGTTATCGAAGAGGAAGAGACAAACCTCCTTTAGTTGATATAGGTAAGATGAAATTTAATATATTGAGTATTAAATAGAATGACGCATATTAATACTTTCAAGCAAAGATGTTATGAAAGCATCAGAGACAAGTAAAATTTAATTTGCCCTTTTTTAGGTCTAGGAAAACAAATAGAATCTAATTATAATTCCAAAATTTGTATTTAGAGCGTATTCTATCTTTTAGCTATTTCTAAATGTATCGTAAACATTATTAAGTTTGAATTTATTTTTGTCCATATTTATCTACCTAGTAATAGACAAAATATTACAAAAATAATGGACAGTATATTAATGGGGATTCTTTAAAAATGAAAATAAATAAGTTGGGTTTTCTTAACTCATCCTTTGCTATTGTAAGTGTTAATGTATAAGGTGTTCAAATTACTTTAAGTTTAGAAAAAGTCTAAAAATTGGGATATAAAATATTATTGCGTATCATTCCACTGAACTAGTATTTCTTTAATAGTTTTTTGCAGGTGCAAGTTGCACTTCTAATTTTTTTAATGGTTCTATACCTTCTTTTTAATTTTACTGACACGAAACTGAGTAAATTAAAAACTTGACACAATCATAGAAAACATTAAAAAGTGACAATAATTCTATCAAGGAAGTCTGATGAACAGATATGAGCAAGAGAAGTACCTAATTAGTGTTTTCCGTTGATTTTGATATGTTTTCGCTGGATAGTATCATATTCGTTTAAAGATGTTTATAAAATATTAGTTCTAAACCATAGCATTGTAGCTACTTTTTCAGGAGTATAGGCATCTGCCATTGCACACAAGAAAATCCTAGGGTAAAAGCTAATAAAACTGAGCATGAACAGTAAGGACAGATTGTGGTATTGGGTACTAACAAGTTAACTGTTGGATGATTTTCATATGTTGTACCCACAGCATTGGAATGAAAGATCCTCTATATGGAGAGTATGAGAATAAAATATTATATGAAATTATTTAATTGAGCTCTGTTATCATTCTTTGTACATTTATTTTGTGGAGGATTCCAGGTTTATGTTCCAATATTAATAATACTGTGAAGATTTCAAGCGTTACCATTTTTGTTATATGTTCTAATTAATTTCGACATCGTAGGTAGTCGCTGACCGGTGAACCCCATGGCATCACTGGTAGGACAAAGTGCTGGTCCCCATGGTAGTGAATGTATTAAAAATAGTACCATTCATTTTAAGATTTTAGATTACCAGAACTAATCTACAGAAACTCAATTGTATTTCTTAGAACATTCCACACAGTCGAATTAGTTACATTTGTGACAGTAATAAAAGAAAAGTATACATATATCTTCTCACTTGATATATGTTTCTATTTTTCCAATTTGTTTAAGAATCAAAAAGGAATAAAAATTACCCAAGCATTAGTTTAGGATTTTCTGTGTTTATGAAGGAAATTTTATGGGATCACGTGAGTCCTAATGATATGAATATCTTTACAAATGAAGACTAGACTTAAAAAAGGCTGTAAGTGCCATGTATTTGAAAAGGTTTTTTTTTCATAAAAGAAATGAATATGTTTGAGTTTGTGGATGGAAATACTAACATAATTAATTTATTCATTAACCCCCTACAGGACTGAGGCCGTGGAATGAAAACGGTAGTGTGCGTCCCGAGGAAAATAGCTTACCTTAGAAGTGAAGCGTTATTTGATAGATTTCAAGGAGTTGTTATAAACAAAACGTAGTTCTTTATCTAGCATTGTGCACATATTGTATAAACATATTTTTGAATGAATGATTCGAACAGTTGCTATTATGATATCGCTGTTCATATGAACGTAGGAACGGCAGACGCAACCTATTGCATGGTTGGACTTTTATTCTCATTTCCAGGTGTTGGCCTTTGCAGATTCATCCTATTATAGAAAACAAATTCTTTTTGGGCTTATGGCATTTACAGACTTTTTAATGGAGGAACGGACAGGAGGACAAGTGGTCCACATGCTGCTCTTGTTGTTGGCGAAACAAATGACTTATAAAATGTATATTGGCTCAGGATTGATGCTTTTTGGTTATTCTGCTGACAATACATACACAGATACTTACATAATACTTATAGGATCCTCTACTATGGAAACACTAGCTTTGAAATCTATGCTTTGTGTTGAAGGACAACTATTTGTTCAGGCACAACGAAGAATGTCCATATGGAAAACGATGTATGCAATGGTGCAAACACCTGATAATTTTAAGAATAGAAATAATTGCAGATATAATATATATGCAGTGTATAGATACCGCTAACTTAGACTGTTTCTGCCATCAATATCTTATTTTTTATTAGCAATAAAGACCTGTATGTTACTATCCTGTAACCACATATCATAATTGGAAAGAGATCCTTTAGGATAACGAACTAATCGTACTATCAAATAAAACCGAATAATTTTTTTTATAGGTTTTATGAACAGCTTTGTCTTATTGTATCAACCATAATGTAGTCTATGTTACAACCATGTTAGAATATTACAGTGTAGTACATATGTTGAAATATCACAAAATCAGTGGGATGTACTTAATATGTGGTGCCAATTTCAGGTGTCATCTATGATGGCAAGGAACGCATAATGCAGGATGCAGAAATGGTATTAGAAACTCCTAAAGGACATTTAGCAAATGTGAATAATTCAACATCAAGGATATTTGTGACGTATAGACGTGCAAGTCGCAAAATGCCATGCAATTCTTTAGTTGTGACAGACATATGTGTCATTTTGACAAATAAAGGAGAAACCCCTCCACATGCTTTTTGTATTATCAATAAAAATTTGAACAAAGGCATGTTGGGTAGCGATGTATTCTTGTGTTATAAGAAGTCTATGAATCGTGCAAATTTAATATCATTTAAACCTGCTGTACTGTACAAATACCCAACGTCTGATTATAATAGTTTTGTTTTCCCAAATTCTGTTGCGATGTTTTGTTTACCAATGGGAGCAACAATAGAATGTTGGCCAAAAATGGCTTGTAAACCAAAACCCGTGTTTTCGACATTTGTTTTAACTGTTGCTGATGCAGCCCAGAAAGTATATGGTTCAGCAATAACATTTTACGAGGAACTCGAATTAGAAGTGGATATACCAAATTCGAAAGAAAATCGACAATTAACTGACATACTTGCGGAAAATATACAGAATTCTGGTAAGAGAACATCCATGTTTATGTACATATGCAATGTGTTTTCTTTTTTCTGGATTTGTTCTGTATTTGCTATCATTTCTAACAGTCATTGTTCATTTACTTATACAATACATATCTTGTACTATTCTACAATTTACGAATATTTTATTTTAAATATGAAAACTTAATATTTTAAGGTTCAAGATATTTATAAAATTATATGTGCATAATTTAGAAGTATTTTTCATTGTTCTAATAAATGATAAATATTTCAAAATTAAGTTAACGTAAAAGATGATATCATCATCCAGTTAACTGAAGTATTGTAATTATTTTATAGATTATACTAAATTTACTAGTATTTCTCAAGTTAACAATGCACTTTTTTTACTTCTTTACCCCTTTTTACATTTAATAAATCATAAAATTTTCTAGTGCAGTATTTTCCTTTTCCATTAATATGCTGAAGTAATATTTATTTTCTACTGTTTCTTATTAGTTATATCTGTTACTTGTTCTTGAATATTTTTGAAATTATCCGAAAACTCTTTGTTTATCAATATAACAGATCAATATAGACATTTTCTTGTGTTCCAGTTGAACATACAGAAATGGATAATCTACCTACAAAAATACAAGCGCTTAAGCAGACTGGAATACTTAAGAAGCTTACTCAACTGCAATTGGAAAAATTGCAGTTGACGGATCCCGCCACTCAGTCGTTAAATATTAGTAAATCTATATGCATATTATCTCACTGGCCATTTTTCGACACTTTTGAGAAATTTTTAGTTTTTCTACACAGCATGGTTAATAACAAATCTCAGAACGTTCCTATTGAAAAATACATAGCTTATTTTTTGTACGATATACCGTTCCCGAGTCCACAGAGACCAAGAATTCTTGTACAATTAAGTAGTAAAGACAGATTAATTTTAACTCAACCGGAAGATTTAGCGCTACCAAGATCTGGTGCCAGTTTCCGGCAATTACTCATTAATTTAGGGCCAGATAATTGCTTACTTATATTGTTATTAATATTAACTGAACAGAAAATACTTGTACATTCATTGCGCCCTGATGTACTTACATCAGTCAGTGAAGCTATTGCAATGATATTATTTCCCTTCAAATGGCAGTGTCCATATATACCACTGTGTCCGTTAGGTTTAGCCGAGGTAACGCATCTATTTATTTTGTGAATTTATAGAAGCACACGACAGTAAACTATCAAGCGCGTTTGATATTGTAGGTTCTGCATGCTCCACTACCGTTTTTAATTGGTGTGGATTCTAGATTTTTTGATCTGTATGATCCACCATCTGATGTTAATTGTGTTAATTTGGACACAAATAATATAGCGATCTGTGACGACAAGAAATATTTAAATGTCAAATTATTACCTAAGAAGGCAGCCAGACAGCTTCGAAATTGGTTGGAACATCTCTATTCGAAACTGATTTCTTTAGGGAAAAGTTACTCATCCATGAAAGGTGTGTATATAACAGCGTTGTTTAATTTCTGTCTCTATTATTTTCTTGTAATTGTTCCGTTTTTAGACACAGACGACGAAGAATTCAGTGTCGATAAGGAATTTCAACAGAAGCGAAAAGAGCAAGCCTTGGAACTTGAAATACAAGATGCTTTTTTAAGATTTACCGCTACTATGTTAAAAGGATATCGTGCTTTTTTGTTACCCATCACGAAAGCACCAACGGTTGGCTCAACCGATCCAACAAGTTTGTTCAACATACAAGCGTTTCTCAGAAGTCGTGACAAGGCTCACGCGAAATTTTATAGCATGTTAGTGAAGACACAAATGTTTATCAGGTAAGCATTACTTAATAGCTATATTCTAGTGTCTTATGAGATGTTCGTTGAAGTTAGAAACTTATAACTAGACTGCGGATTTTATGCATTTATAGTTCATAGGGCTCTGTGAAATACAATAAAAAACAAAACTTTCATCGGATTCAATAATTTTTCTGTTTTAGTCTGAACCCAATGAGATACTTCAGAGGAAAAATAAATTTTTACATTTGCTCCTGTCTTAAAAAATTACTTTAGAAAATGTTATTTTGTATAAAAATGCGCAGTCTACTTATAACATTATAATATGTTTTTCAATGTTTCTCAGTATTTATTTTGTAGATACACGGGGTGTAAAAAAAAGAATTGCACAACAGTATTAACGAATACTAATTGTTTATTTTATTTAAACTATATTATATATAATTTATTGTTCCCCTGAGTTGTACATGGAACTGAAATGGATAGTCATAGGATAGTAACGATTCATGGTACAGTGAACCGTATTTAAATAGAGTACACTAAGTACTCGATCATAAGAAGGAGTTTGAAGTTCTTGTTTTGGTATTAAATTCATATCTTCTGAGGGCTCTTTACACAAGGAACTATCATATTTGATTATAATATATTTACTTTGACATCCTCTATTTTGTGTTACTCCAATATGATAGAACTATAAAAAAGCTTTGTCTTACACGATCCTTTGAGAACATTCTGTATACAACTCTGGTGATTATAAAGTGTTTCTTCAGATCCCTTGATTGAAACTTCCTACTTTTTTATTTTTTTAATTTTCCGTAGTATACTACTGCAGATCATGTGTTTTAGATTTATAGAAGAAAGAAGTTTCGTATCTGATATGGACATGACAGGTTTAGCATTTTTTGACGAATGTACTGAACGTGTCGAAGATGAAAATGGTAAGAATGAGTTTGACTACCTCCTTTGGAATACATGCTTAAATTAATTTTTTTACTTTCATTTTCTTCTCGTCTCATATCCATTCTAGTTATTTTCTTCTCTATGCTGCACTTTTAACGTACAATTCTTTTCGGATTATTCATACTTTTTAGAATCCTTTTCTGCATTGTTCTATTTGTTTATTACTATTTTTTCCTGTGGCGCCTTCTTCTGCGTTTCCTCTGAGTTTATTATGTGAATTATAAATAGAGTTAAAACAGTGAATTTTCCTGTCTAATTCTTTCCTTATCTTCTATGATATTATGTTTTATTCTAATCTATTTTTAGCCCTTGCCTAAACTTTTCTACATCTTTTTTCTCTATTTGATTTGTACATTACCGCTTTTATCCAGTACAACTTTTGGAATTGGACGAATCTCAGCACAGTGAACGAACAGTATTTATACCCCCACCCGAAGCTGGTCCGAATCAGACACCGATTGTGTATCGCACATTTAAATTAAATCCTGACCTAATAAGGCCGCAGAAACATTTCAACATGAGAAACGCGAATTTAAGTGTCTTTGGTATAATACCAGGAAGTCCTATGGCACGAAGGACCAAACATGAGATTAAAGTGGCACAAAGGATGGCACGCAAACAGGTATAACTGTTTTTATCAACATTCTACTTTCAGATTTAATTTATAAATAATATTCTACCTTTTAGGCAGCAATGCCAGATAGGTGGGGTAGATGTCTACTTGGAACCTGTTACAGTCTTTGGTTTCTACATTTACCTGCCATGTTACAAGTATCTAATCAACCAGCTACAGTTTTACATCAGGCATATGATTTGCTTGTTAAAATGCCGAAGTTACACCTTGACCCCATTGAAGAGGTAAGATTTTTCATTCTCATTATACAGACATTAAGGTAACGTTCTTCAAAGAATGTTATTGGTCTTAATAAATTAACTCCTTAACGCACTTATTGTCGAGATAAAATTAGTACCATTCGATTTTCCGAGTTGAAAGCGTTCCGTATACAGTAGAGTCCATGAGAAAACTACTTCTAGGGTGCGCGGAGTAAATTTTTTACGACATCAGACGCAATCGCAATTAAGATAACTGGGAGCGAGACTGACACTTCGAGTGAGTGAGAGCGTGAAACTAATGAATACAATGGACTCTAAACTATATTGCCATTGTCGGGGCTGTAGGGGAGTAAAATGGCAATGAGTTCAGAGCTCCCTCCATGCTAAGTTCTGTCGTCGTAGCCTCGGCCTCAGCGCCTGCGCAAAAGCTGAATCGTGCTGGTGCGCCGGCGTACGCAACGTGGTGGAAAGTACGTGTGAAGGGGAAGTGTCTCGCGTGGCACTATGCTTAGTGGCAATATAGATAGAGTCTACTGTATGTGTTTCTTGCACTGATCAGATTTTCCAAACACGGCGTAAATTTGACTGTTTTTAGGTATATATCAACGTATATACAGGATGGTTCATTTAATCTGACTATCTCAATTACTCGTAAAGTACTGGTTATATGAAAAAATATTTTAAACAGAAGTTGCTGTATCAAGGCGGACACGTGAACAGTTTCCGAGATATTAGTTAATTTTTGTAACAATATTAATTTATCAATTTATTAATTTATTAATTTATTAATTCATTAATTTATTACTTTATTACTTTATTAATTTATTAATTCATTAATTTATTAATAAATAAATATGGTCCAAACTATGCTATGATTCGGTCTCGCCAATATGATAAACAAATTTACTGACACTTAGTAACTGTTCACTTTAACCCCATATGATATATTACTTTATATGCAATATTTGATACTTTATCGAAATTCGGGAAGAAATATTAGGCATTCCATTTGAGGGGTCATGTCTAATTAAAAAGCCGAAAGAATGTGGTTTTTGAGAATTTTTTTCAAAAACTTCTCTAAAATAGTGTATTTTAGAAAATATTTCATAATTTTTGTATTTCAAAATATTTAGTTGTAACGAACTTATGGGGGGAGACTCCGTGGCCCGTGCGCTGTGTCCGTGCACTCACACAATCAACGGGAACCGTGTATGTATATGCGATGTGCAAGAGAGATAATCGATTTCGTAAATTCCAACTTCTGTCTGAACAATTGCACAAATGAACTTTTCACGGGTATAGAACTCACGGGTAGACTTCCCTACAGGGTGGTCTGGTCCGTATAAACACCAATAAACACATTTTAATTGAAAGAATTAGAATTTTAGAAAGTGTGCGATTGTGACAGACGCCGATGAAAACACACAAGATGGCTGCACAAGTCACATTTTGTCAAATATCTCACGATTTAATGGTTTTTTCGTCAAACGCAGACCAGACCACCCTACACACCACTATCGCACTATCGTAGAAATCCAATTTTTGTCACTGTATCACTTCTGGAACGCAGAAGTTGGAATTTACGATTCGACGCGTCCAGACACAGAAATAAACAGTGGTATAGTTCAAGGATTCTCCGATAGAGGCGTTTATGGTATTTGTCAGTCACTTTGGCCTGCGTTACCACGAGCATCGATAAAACAGAGGGAGTCGGTAAATGTAACCTCGCAACACGTGGTGGATCGTATCGATTGTTTTGTTACGCTGTTGCCATTCGACAATTCTGCCCGTCAGGAGAACGATGGAACAGCTACGGCCTACGGCTCGTGGCGAGATTTCGATTCTCGCGGAACGTAGGAAAAGAACGACGCGAGGGAAAGAAATCCGAGAATTAAACAATACGTACTAATGTGTGCAAGGATGAACCTTCTTATTCGTACTTGCAATGATGCTTATTTTTTTAATTAATGAAATTACATACGAGATACTTGACATGATATTCTCGAGAAACAAATTGTAAAAATGGCACAATATATATTCCGGGTATTCCACATACGAAAAACATGGAATACTATACAAATCTCTTGTTGGAAATGATATTTATTTATTTTTTATTGACATAATTGACGCAGGTGTTATATACTTACACAAATATTTCATAAAAGAGACACAAAAGGAACACAATTAATCGCATACGCTCTGTCAATCTTTCATTCGTCGCCCAGCGGAGATAGATTTTGTACTAACAACTGATTGCTGTCGCATGCGTACTTAGCGTATCATCTTCGCTGCGTCTGCACCTGTTCCAGTACGTATTTTGTTTTAAAAATTGGACCAAACGACTTGAGTTTTTTTGAGAAGCTAGAAGGATTAACTTATTAGATGACATGTTTTCGTTATTTCGAAAAAATTACAATTGTTGGAATAGCGAAGAAAATAGTAAAAATATTAAGAAGTCCTTTTTTCAATTTTTTTCTGATCCTATAGTGAAAATTTAACAAATACCTCTTATACACTTAATTAAGATACGTACACGCTGAAAATTCCAGGGTATAAGTTACAAACTATTAAAAGTGGTTAGACTTACAAGTTAGAGTTACAAATAAGTTACAAAACTAAAAAACTCGTACTTTCGACTTATAAACCTGAAGATTTTTTACTACTTCGGTGCTCGTAGCTTCTTTGCTTTGACCGACGAATTTTGTTATGACTGGGCCCGATAATGGTGGCCTGACCTAGGTCACTCTGAAAGTCACCATCGGGTGTCGATCGAAAACGAAGAGACAGGAATACTGTTTCGTTGAACGTCGACTAGAATGGTCATAAAACCAGCTTTCGATTTCACTATTGTTATTAAGCAGTATTATTGATATATATACATAGATAGTAATGATATACTTAGTCATGACAATAAGGAAACTGTAACATCGCAGCTTCACTTTTCTTTTTCTTAGATATATAATTCTACAAGAGGCATATTTCGAATGTTCATTATAGGCTAAGATAAAAAAGTTGAAAAAAGTGTCTGTTACTATTTTTGTGCGTGTTTTGTCAAACATTTCCCTGTACATTGTGAAACAACTAATTACAATTAAATCATTAAAACTTAATTATCTAGACTAATCTTTAACTTCTCATAAACATTCAAATCATTTTATGGATAACTAGCTGACGTACCCGCTCTCGCGCGGGCAGTTTCATATTGCAAATCATATTTTAGTTCGTATATACAGACTAGACTGTAATATACCGTGAATAAATAAGCAGCATAGAATTTTGGATAGTGCAGTATGAATCACATCGATTTGCGGCTTTTTAAACTTTTTTGTCTGCCTCAGCTCATCGTTAGCTAAAGAACATTGTCGCTGGACTGTTCCTTCGACTAACTTTGGCCAGCAGGAATAAATGGGCTGTTGAGCGCCGGGCGAGAGGCCAGCGACTGACGATCGAAATACAATGTAAACAGATAAGGAATGAAACGCATGAATGCAAATTTAATCTTTTATAGTTTTCAGTATACATTCATTAAAGTGTCACGAATGAACTGAGGAGATTCTGTCGGTGGAAATGAGTCCAAATACGACATCATTCGGATTATTTTCAATAATATATCATTTTCATCCGCAACATTACGTATGAGTAACAATTGTCCAATTACACTCGAATTTGGACGCATTTTAATCGGGAGAATTTCTTCAATTCATTCATGACATTTTCATTAAAATATATTGCAAATTGTAAAAGTTTAAATTTTCATTCGTGCGTCATTCCTTATCTCATCTACGTCTGTTTACATTGTATGCCGATGGGTCGGTCGCTGGCCTTGGACGTTCGGCGAGAATCGAAATCTCGCCACGAGCCGTAGGCCGTAGCTATTCCATCGTTCTCCTCACGGGTAGAATTGCATGCGGGACGTGAGGCAACAGCGTAAGAAAAACGATACTGTCCGGCAACACTGTCTTCGCGTAGGAAATACACAAACCCAGCTTGATGGTAACGGGGAACAAAATTTATTTGTGGGTATTGCCGCTAGATGTCGCATTATCAAGCCGTCCGAAATATCGATTTTGTGTTTTCGCTGGCGTCCGGTTGTTTACATCGTCGCTTCGATCGATTCGGAGTTGGCCCCAAAGGAGTCTCCCCCCTTATGGCCGTTCTCCCGGAGGGAGGTTCTCTCTCTAAAAAAGAGGTTTTGTGATGACCACAGCTACTTGGTGTTGGATTATCAGAAATTAAAAATGAAAAATAATTTATTTAATATATTAAATTATCTAATTTTTGAACGAAGGACTTTTTTTATGTTGTATATTTATCTTTTTTTGACCATAAACGAGCGACGTTTTTCTCACAAATCACAAGTTTAGTTTAAAATGTCCGCCCTGTTGTCTCGAATCAATGTTTTGAGAAGTCTTTTGTTCAAATACTAGATAATTTAACGTGTTAAATAAAACTTTTTGAATTTTTATTTTTTAATGATCTGGTACCAAGTAGCAGTGGTCACCGCAGAACACCTTTTTTGTGAGAGGATCTTCAGGAGATGGGTCACAACTTCGTTACTGATAAATATTTTGAAATAAAAATATTGAAATATTCTCTAAAATACACTATTTCAAATACGACAATATTTTTTTGTATTTCAATATTAACGGATTTATAGTTTTTGAGAAAAATATTCCCAAACTTTACTCTTTCTTTAAAAAAATGATAAAAGTGTGCAATGAAATTGTTAAAAATCGATTTATTTATGTAAAGACAAATTTTTTATAATTTCACTGTGTTCTCTTGGAGAACATAAAAAGTCATTAAGGGCGCAGACTCCTTCAGGGTTAACTCCGAATCGATCGAAGCGCCGATGTAAACAAACAGGCGTTAGCGAATATATATAATCGGTAACTGGGACAGATTGAGGATGCGACATCGAACGGCAGTACCTACAAATTAAATTTTCCGCTGTTATCACCAAATTGGGTGTGAATATTCTGCTCTGCTACGCGAAGACCGCAGAATATGTAGTTGGCGCCGAT